CCCCAAAACCCCAAAACCCCAAAACCCCTAACTTTAACTCTAGATTGAATATTGTCATTTTGAGTATCTTATAATTAACAAATATGCTCTTATTAACTAATCAAGCTCTTAAAGCTTGAGTTGTAAGCTACTCCTTGATTAAAATTTGTCAACGGTCAAGAGGGTTAGAAGTTAGAATTAAATGAATCCTCAAATGCTTCGATTTCTTAGATAGCATAGAAATAAGAATGATCGAGCTAGAAAAGCTCATCCAAATATCAAGAATTTTGATAAATTATTTTAAAAAAATTGAAACAAAACATGGTGAAGAAGCAATTTAGATTTGCTAATAAATTTAATTCTGAGAGGTGAGGTTTAAAAATGACTCTTGATTATTAAAAAATATTAACAACGCAATGCAAAGGACTCTTAACAAGACCCTCCTCAGTTTATTTGAAATATTTCTCCAAGGTTATTCTTCAAATCAAGTCAGGTTGAATAAATATCCTGGTGAATTTTAGAAGAAAAATGCAGAAATACTTTTCCTCAAAAAGCTTCCAGATTCGATGGAGAATAGTAATAGAGTGATACAAAGTTAGAAATTAATAGAAATACTTTGGAAACAACTTATGGAGAATTAAAAATTGTACACCAGTATTTTCGAATGAAGCAACAGAAAGTAATCCTTAATACATTAACAATAGAGACTTCTTTTATGGTGATGGAAGAGATAAATGTTAGCAGAGGTAAATGATCAGCATTGGACACCCAGCTTTTATTCAATCTTCATTAGTGTAGAGTTCATGGTTTGAATACAATTATCTTAATGATGCTAATAACTCTCATCTGAAGTTACCGAGTATGTTTTCATATGAATGGAGCTGTCTCTATTCATAATTTTTGCAAAATGGAAAGAATTTGCAATTTTTTCTAAAATAGTAAATTAGTTTTTTAATAAATCCTAATTTCTCATAATTCAAGCGAACTATCTTGTCTAAGAAGCATGTATGCTCTAAAGTAATCCTTAAACATTCTTCTTCGATAATCAAACCTTGATCAAAGACTTCTTACTTATGAGAGCACTTTGCTCAAACGAATATTCGAATTCCACTGTCTCTCATACTCTTTCATACTTACTGAAGTTGGTTGAATTTCCAGATGAAGTCCTGATCTTTGTTATAAAATATTTAATAGGATAAGCCTTTTGAATTTACCTAGGAAAGTTGACTTGCTTAAAATAACCACCATAAAGTAAATAAAACTAAAATTAGCCAGAAATAAGAGTGGTTTAGATAAGCATCTAAATAATTAAGACAAACTATACATTTGAGCGCTCATCCAAAATATGTCTTAAGTTCAGCAGGACGACGAGGTGATTGAGACACCTATAAAAATTCATCAAATATGCCATAAGAGCGTCGAAATAATTATTGCCTGCTCTACATAAATTTAGTGTTAAGAAGTATCTCTGTTCAATAATTATGGCGAGAGTTTATATAAACCTTGCTAGCTGTCGGAATATTATAGAATAATAAAGGAGTCTTTGCAAACTCATCTGCGAGTCTCTTTTATTGTTGATATGAACAATTTGGTTACAGGTTATTATATGACAGTTACATTTCTAAACTTTTGATCCTTAAATTAGAAAATTTCTAATATACTAAGGCGAACTCTTTCTATTAAATTTAATTCAAGTCATTTGCTAAGCCCATAAAGAGAGTTTGAAGACTCAGTATAACCCCTAGACAAAGAAGAAGCAAATTTTTGAAATAAAGAGTGAATAAATATGGATAATCTCCTATTCAAATATATTTGAAAGTTTATTATTTTAAGCTATTTAAAAGCATTGAGATATAGCAATTCCTTCAATTAAATGCGAGAGGAGCAATAAATATAAGATAAGTGATTATGGTTAAGATAGTAATATCTCTTATCCAATTTATGGTCAACCATCTTTTACTTATACCATTGGTGAGAAAGAGTTGAAAGATATTAGATATTAAGAAAAGCTAGTTAGCCGTCATCAAAAACTTGTATAACTTTAAAACTCAATGCAATTGTTCAAAAAACTTGAGTAAATTTAAAAAAGAAATTGACTCAAATTTGAAGACGAGTTATCAGAAATTAGGTTTATGAGCTGTAGTGCATGCTATTCTGAAAGCTCTCATTGAAATTTGGAACTGCTGAGCTGATTCCATGTTTATTCTCCACGTGTGTCTATATACATTGTTCATCAAGCTTACTCTGTAATTGTACCTTTCGGTGAAGCTGCTGCTGCAAAACTCGCACTTGAATTTCTTGCGGTTGCTCAGATGAGGCTTCTCGTGCTGAATCAGGTGCTTGCGCATGTTGCCTTTTTGAGTGAAGCCTTTGCCGCAGAACTTGCACATATAGGGTTTGATTCCGTAGTGCATCCTGATGTGGTCAAGCAAGTTCCAGGTCCTCATGAATGTTTTGTGGCACCCGTTGAACTCGCACTTGTAGACCATGATCAATTTGCCGTTTTTGGAGTTGGACTGCATGGTGGAAGAGTATGGATAGCCCTTGAGGGCATTAAGGTTGTCGACGTTAGTTTGTGAGGTTTGGTTCTGGATGATGTTTCTAAAATAGTTAGACTCATTATAAAAGAAGCAAAGGGAGAGTTAGTCACTAATATTGTATTAAACTATAAAGTTCTTACCTAGTTTTCCATGAATCATTTAACACACTCGCATCTCTGGTTAAATATTTCTCTTCTTCATAGTTAGATGAGATACTCATTCAAATACTATGTTGCTATGGAGTCTAGTTAATATGAATGCTATTTTTGGCGAAAATTTCCAAAATGTGGCTTACTACTTTTTGTACTGAGACCTCTTGGCAATGAGAATCTGGAATATTGAGCATTTTCTGAACTAAATTCATTGTTAATAATTTAATCGAAAAATCTTAGTTGAATTGCAAAGATAGAATATTCTGGAAGTAATATTGCTTACTCTCTGGAGATCAAACTCAATGTGCATCAATCAGATGCTTAATTTTTCTTGTAATTGATCTATATTAAAGTTAGGAATTCACAATTGAATTTGCTAATGCTAGAAAGCAAAACAATAAAAATTTTGAAAGAACTATTAGGTATTTTGAAAAGGAAATATCTATTCACCAACCATTTATGTATAATTTTTTTAACTCTTGGAAATTTGAACCTGTAAATGATTGCAACTCATAATATTGAAGGACTTTGGAGGCAAATAAACATGATAATGACTAACTGTTAGGCCAAGGATCAAGGATAAATTACTGATTGAAACACTACTATTTTACATAACTTCGAGATTGGTATATGTAAGGTTCTAATCAAACAAATTGATTTAACTGTTTTAGTTGAAACGAGGCTAACATAAGTTAAAGATGAACTAATGAAAATTCAGAATCAAAACATTTACTTTATTCATTGACTAGTGGCTTTTAGAGATAGAAAGCATTAGAAGAACATAAGCTTAGTTTAACAATCTTAAAAATAAGTTTTATGCAATGATGTCTAAAACAGCTGTCACGAAAAGGAAAAATATAACTTTGTATAAGCCTGTGCACCAACTAGATACCATAAATTTGTACCTATATCTACTCTGCTTATGCTCAATCATTTAAATTATAAACACAAAATGCCAAGATTGTTCAAAATTTACTTAAAAAGAAAAATGTTCGAAAATTTATCTACATCTTTCTAAAAATTATGCAATTTCAACACGTTAACTTCATGAGGACTATCCTTCAGTTATAATACGTAAGCTTAGCTTACTTATCGAAAATTGAAGTTCAAAGTTTGCAGCTAAATTAGACATAGATGGTTTATTTTTAGGATGAGCATCATCATCCTCTTCTTAGTATAAATACTTTGCTCATACTCAAATTAAGGTTGAAAGAGTATTAAACTTGTAGCTAATCCGCTAATTAAAAATAATATAGTCATAAAAATTGTTGTCTTTGTTGTAGAGCTGTTAGGGCTATCCAGGCTCAACAATGGCGAAGTGCATATAGATCCTTTGCTTACCTTTTTTTGCAGCCATACTTATCTGATTCAAGCTCAAGCCTTTATGAGAACAGTTTCTAGTCTCTATTCCTGTTTTTCTATCTGAGTAGCCAACTTTGGAGGAAGTAGTTGTCTGGAAATAGTAAGGATACAGAGAGTTCATATAATTTGGAGCTTCCATTATCTAGTATATACCCAACTAAGTTATTATATCAACCTCCTATCCCTCCTTCGGGGTTTTGGGGTTTTGGGGTTTTGGGG